GATATATATAGCTTTGGTATAATAATGTGGGAAATTTGCTCAGGTACAAGACCATATGATACTATACCTCATAATTTAGATTTAGTTAAAGATATATGCAGAGGCAAAAGACCACCAATTCCTATCGGTACACCGTCATTCTATTCGAAACTTATGAAAGCTTGCTGGGACGATAATCCTCGAAATCGTCCAGATGCTATAGAGATTTCAAAAACTATTTATCACTGGCTAGTAGACAATTCACTCGATAGTTGCATGCGAAAAAATAGCAAAAAATCCCATTTCGGAAGGCTTCATAACAAGAAGCTGGCACATCCGGATGCAGTGTATCACAGTCGATTATTAGATTTCCAAGAAATAAAAGAAATGAGACTGCGACAATATCTCTCATTAAGTCTTCCACGTTCAATTCATACTCAAGGTAAAATTCAAAATTTATTTTTTAATAATATCGAAAAATATTTAACATTAATGCATGCATACAGATTTTATCGAAGAATTATCGCAATCGCAAAGTGATACGGATAATCAATCACAGCCTTCGCAAGATGTAACAAATAATTTGCAACCTTCGCGAGATGATCACAATCATTCACCACCTTCAAGAAATACTTATAACTTTATATCAAATATACAAAATTCATATACAACTAAATATTCACCAAGATCAAAAGAAACTTACAAAATATCATCACCAATTAGAGATATTTATAGTTTCTTACCACGTAAGTTGTCAATTTTTAATTTTTTGAAGCTATGGATTATGATTTGTCAATTGACAAATTCCCAATAATAGCTAAACAATATCGTGGATCCAACGTCACTATATCAGAGATACTTGAAACTGATCATTCAGAGGCGTTAGGTAAAATTGGGTTTTTATTTTAAGTGAATTTGGTTCAATTGAAATTAAAATTATATTTTTCTATTGTAGTAACCAATCCAGCCAATAATAAACCTAACACTGATGGTATTAAATGTATTTCTATTGGCTTATTCTCTATAATTTATATTTTATTAATACTAAACTTTGTAACCTTTTTATATTAGTTCGACAAAATGTCACGAGTGTGTTTATACCGGAAGATGGTAAGAAATTATATATATATATATATTAATGCTATTCAATCCTCTACTAACCCTCATAACTATTTAGACATTCATGCATTACAAACATTTTGGGCATTGGAAGGAGCTAGTTCGAGTAGAATAAATCTTTCAGTTCAATAATTTATGCATTTTACCAACATGAGCCTTTCATTTAACATAACCTAGTAATTTGTTACTTTTTTGTTTGATCATATTTATTCTTATTACTTTAAAACACATGCATTTGACATTTTGTATATATATTTCTGAATGCGAATTCCATTTTAAATGTCTATATAGATTCATCTATTATTTTTATAGTGTGTATATACCATTCTTTATTTTTAGGCATAATTAAGTAGATATCATTACCATTTTTGATTCTACTATTAATATCATTGTTTTTTTTTTATTTGGGACACGATTTAAGCCACAAATTAGATCTTTTTTTATTTGTTGTATTAGAAAAAAAAAAAAAAAAAAAAAAAAAAAAAAAGCAATAATAATCGTACCTACTATATCGAGTATATTATTTTCGATCTTAAGACGATATAAATAACTTGCATAATTCATTTTTAAATAGCAAATTGGGGTAAATAACTTGTCAATTTATTTTAAACAGTTTAGAATAAAATTGAATTTTTATTAAGGTTATAGCATATCATTTATTTATGTATAATTGTAATTGTCATAATTAATATCGACCAGCATATAAACTTCTAATGGTGAATACTAATATGGGTAATCTTATCAATCTTGTTTCTTTATCGTTTGCACGTCATAAGTTATGAAAAAATATTTTTAATCCTGTTATTTTTAGAAAAACTTGTTATACATAAGTTCTATAAACTTTAAGAGAACAGGGAATAATTTATTTATGTAGAATTTTAAACCAGCAAATCTGTTTA